TATGATCCGTTGATTGATTATGAAAATTACAGGTTAGTTGTTATCGGACTGATGGACAAGGCGTGTCGATTTTGCAGCGCTTTAAAATGGAAAGATGAGACAACAAGCATTTCATCAAAACATTTTAAACTGCTTTAGAAAACCTACCTGAAGAGGATTATAAAATCGTCATTCACGCAGATCCCTCGAGGAGATCATGAAAGGCGCTACAATGCACCTTTGATAAACGATATAGCAGCCGTAATTAGTGGTGATCAATTTTCTTCTCGAGACATTGTCTTGCGAGCACGTGATTATACGTTGCAACGGGTAGCCGATACACACAAGTTTTATGATGCTCTGCAATACCCATTGATTTATTGCAAAGGACAAGAGGGTTATCATTTTCAAATTTCACTCATTAACCCGGTTACAAAGTAGCCTACTCCGAGCAAAAAAGTATCATGTATGGATTTTTATGCGTATAGACAATTATTTCATCAATTTTTGGTAGACATGTATACGAAAGTAGAAAGTAAACGTCTCCGTTATATATCTTTAAATCAAAAAAAAGCTGCGCGTTGAGAATTATATACATTTACAAGATGCAGTTTCTAGCGACGCCAATGTAAACCCCAAAGATTTAGGTAAAATGGTAATTCTGCCCTTATCATTCGTTAACAGTCCCCGCTACCTATATGAGAACACACGACGCATTCGCCTATGTACAAACTTACGGAAGACCTGATATTTTTGTTACTTTTACTTGCAATCACACATGGTAAGAAATAACCGAGGAGCTAATGCCGGGCCAAAAAAGTACTGACAGACACGATTTAGTTGCTAGAGTATTTAGATTAAAAGTACAAACATTAATGTATGTAATTAACAAAGGGACATTTTCGGAGAGGTGCAGTGCTTCATGTATTCAATTGTATGGCAAAAAAGAGGATTACCGCATGCCCACATTCTAATATGGCTTAAATAGAAGTTGCGGCCCAGCCAAACAGATGACATAATAAGTGTCGACATTCCGGATCCTGAGCAAGATAAAGAATTATATGATACCATCGTCCGAAATATAATTCACGGTCCATGTGGAGCACGAAATTCAATATCGCCATATTGAAAGAAGGAAAATGTACAAAGAAATTCCCTAAACAGCTATTAAAATAAACAGTGCACAATGACAATGGCTGCCCTTTATACAGACGCAGAGCTCCTGAAGATGGTGGCAGGAAATTTACAATCAAATCTCGCTCTGGAGCGTTCGAAACCTTAGATAACAACTGGAAACTTTAATGCCCACATTAATTTAGAATCATGTAGCTCTGTCCGCGCAATCAAGTATATCTGTAAGTACTCGTACATAAATAAAGGAAGCGACCAAGAAATATTTAATCTCAGGAGTGAAAGTGAGGCAAATCCCGTTAATGAAGTACAGACCTGTCAAGCAGGGCGTTATGTCAGCAGTAACGAGGCAGCGTGGCGTCTCCTTGGCTTCCCTTTACACGAAAGGCACCCAACAGTTACTCACCTTGCTGTGCACTTAGAAAATGGAGAGCGTGTATATATCACTGAAACAAATTTTCAAGAAAGAATTGCATCACTGCCAAAAACTACACTAACAGCCTTCTTTCAACTTTGTCAAACAGACCCCTTTGCAGAAACGTTGTTATATTTTGAAGTCTCCCGCTATTATACTTGGAACTCATCTAGGAAGGAGTGGAAACGCCGTATTCAAGGCGCGACTGTTGCAAATTGGCCCAGTGTAAAGTAATCAGATGCCCTTGGTCGTGTGTATAACGTCCATGTAATTAATTTTTTACGATTGCTTTTTACGATTGCTGCTGCACTATGTTCGGGGTCCTACAGGATATAAAGATCTTAAAACTGTCAGCGGTCAAGAATGCGCAACTTATAGAGAAGCATGTGAAGCTCTGCATCTTTTAGAAAACGATAATCACTGGGATGAAACCATGGAGAAAGCTGTGCAGTGCTAGTCACCAGCCAAAATTAGGGATCTTTATGCAACTCTCATATCATCTTGCGAGCTATCTAATGCACATGGCGGAAAATATTTTGCGAAGGTTACAGCAGACACACGCGAACATGACATACAATGAACACATTTATAATGAAGCACTTGGAAAAATTGAAGATAAAATAATGGCAATGGTAGGCAAAAAATTAATCGACTTTGTAATGATAAGCCCTCAGCGAACAACTGAAAATGAACTAAGTGACGAAATTATACGTGAAAGAAACTACGATATACCAGCTTCGCAGCAGCAAGTAGACGAATTTGTACCCCGCTTGCTTCCCGAACAAAAACAAGTTTTTGACAAAGTATTAGAACAAATTGAATCTGGAAATGGTGCACTTTTCTTTTTAGATGCCCCTGGAAAAACTGGGAAGACATTTTTGTTAAATTTATTATTAGCGCAAGTCCGGAAAGATAAAAACATTTCCGTGGCCGTAGCTTCCTCCGGTATAGCCGCCACGCTGCTAAGCGGGGGCCGCACTGCACATTCTGTTTTAAAACTCCCTCTAAATCTAGCCTAGGAAGAATCGCCGATCTGCAACTTTAGCAAAAATAGTGCACGAGGTATAATGCTACGACAATGCAAACTTTTAGTGTGGGACGAAAGTACAATTTCGCATAAAAAAGCTGTAGAAGCACTAAATCGAATGCTCCAGGATTTGCGCAACAATACCGATGAAATGGGAGGAATGGTGGTTTTACTGGCTGGTGACTTTCGCCAAACTTTACCTGTCATTCAAAAGGGCACACCTGCAGATGAAATTAAAGCATGCCTCAAGTCGTCTATTTTATGGAACAAAGTTACAAAATTCAGTTTAACTACGAAAATGAGAGTGTATTTGTATAATGATATCAATGCTGGAAACTATGCTGACACAGTATTAAAAATTGGCGATGGGCCGTTGGAAACGGATGCTGAGGGCTGCGTTAAATTGACGAGAGATTTCTTTAGAGTTGTCAGGTGTGCCCTCACATAAACTGCAATTAAAATTAGGCGACCCAGTCATGCTAATGCGAAATTTAGATGCTCCTCAGTTATGTAACGGGACAAGGTTGCGTGTGACACATCTTGGACGGAACACAATCGGTGCTACAATTTTGACAGGCGTAGCAAAAGGTGAAAATGTTATTATACCACGGATCCCTATAATTCTCTCACATCTTCCTTATCAATTCAAAAGGTTGCAGTTCCCTATTAAGCTCAGTTTTGCAATGACAATTAATAAAGCGCAAGGGCAAACGTTACAGGTAGCGGGGGTCAACTTAGAAAAACCGTGCTTCTCTCATGGTCAGCTGTATGTAGCATGTTCGCGTGTGTCAAATGCCCAGAATCTCCATATTCTTTCCCCCGAATGGAAAAACATATAAGATTGTGTATAGTAGCGTCTTAAAATAGTGTTCAGTTTTTTTTCCAAAATTCCCACAATCAATTAATCAGAATTCCCACAGATCTTCCCTTTCAATTCAAAATTTCCTATTTAGCTCAGTTTATTTTCAATTCCAAATGCTGCACCTCTGACGGACCTATTAAGCTCAGTGTCCTTTCAACTCAAAGGGCTGCATCTCTGACGGATCTTTTATTTGGCTCAGTTTCCTTTCAATTAAGAAAACTGCATCCTTGACGGATAATCAGTTTCTTTTCAATAGTCTGCATCCCTGACGGATAATTATGCTCAGTTTTCTTTAATTAAAAAAAAATATGCCATTTCCATTTGGATTAAACAGGCTATTTAATGCTTTTCTATTCGCTACGTTTCAAAACATTTAAAGTTTCCTTTTAATGGCTGCATCTCTGACAAATCTATAAAACTCAGTTTTCTTTCCATTCAAAAAGCAATAGATAGTTCATTTCCCAGTGACCATGCGGGCGAAGCCGCGGGTAACAGCTAGTATTGTTATAAATTATTCAGTAATTTATAGAAGGATCTTGTTTATGTCTAGGAGTCCTTCTGAGTTAGTACCTTAATCAAAATAATTTAGCACTTTTTTAAAATTGAGCTGGCTACGATATAACTTTAAGAAGTCTTAACAATAGGAGACCATATGAGAAACGATAAGAAGCACACAAGAAGAATTTAGTATTTTTCTCTCAACACATTTAAACCTTATAAATTATATTACAATGAGACAAAACGAGCTCAATAAATTTAGGCGCACTTAATATACTGGATGATTTTTTACCGTCTGGAAAATATAGGATGTATCAGGTGAACGAAACAGAAGCCTATGGCTCTGATATTTAACTTTGATATTTAACACGCTTGGTACCAAGCGTGTTAACCACCGCAATCTTTTATTTTTAGTCGGTATTAGGAATACCCTGCCAACCATCTCCTATTTTTTTCTTTCTGTCGTCTCTTAGGAAACCCACGGGATGATATGTGGTAGTGGATATTTTTATACCGCCACTACACGGTACACTAAGCTGGTATAAATAAAGATATTTATTGTGGTGAAAAAAAAATGTCATACACTTTAAATTTAGACACAATTATAACTTAAGATGGACTGACGGCTCATGACCGTGCTGTGGCATTCCTTGAGGTAGGCCTCTGTTCAGCAGTGGATATGTCAAGGGCTGTAGTAATAATGACAAGTCATGAAATGAATGCTATTAATCGTTGGTTCACTAAGCTTACGATTGTTGTTACATAATCTATTCATTTCCTGTTATGTGAGCCTCCCAATAATCGGTGCGTTTAAAATATAGTCATAAATGATGAATTGCTGTTTAAAACTGCGTCGTAGCCCTAAATTTAGTTCTAATGTCACAACGCCATAGGTATTTATTTACCGTGCCATTTGCAGAAAATAAGGGAGACTCGTCGAGATGCCTCGCGGTACCGGAAGTGGTACCAGCACGACCAATCTTCACTGCGTGACATCCGTTACGATTTTCGGCACCAGGGACGCGAATTAGAACGGTTACACATTCATCGCTTACCACCATTATCATGACGGCGGTTGTTGTTGGTGTTTACCTCACTACGCAGCGTCTTGAGCTCCAGTGCCATGTTCTTATCTGGATCAGCAGCTCGATGTTCACTTCTGCCATGGTTAGGGTCAACGACGTGCTGCGGGGCAAGCCAGCGTCCACGGCCAACAGCTCTTTGCTGCGCAGATTGTCCATCACGTTGTCAGCCATCTCGGCGAGGTCATCAAGTTTCAAGTCTAATTTGTTGGTGACCAACATCGCGCAAACTCATGCCAAAAGTCACGCTAGACACAAATTCTTGAGCGAGTCACCTTCAGTGCTTGAGTTTTTCGCGGGCTCACTCATCTTAACCAGCAGATGAGATGGTCGCTGCTGCCTCAACTCCGTCTCCGACATGACATTGTTAAACTAGACCTCCACGCTGGCTTGAAAGACTCTGAGGAGCCTGGTCTTCAGTGCGGTGTAGCGACCTTAGTCCGGTGGGTTTTATAAGAGGTCGCTAACTTGGCTGAGCTCCTCCTTGCCCAGCTAGATCACTATCATGTCATATTTGACCTGCTCGACTGGTGTTGTGGTCCCATCACTGACTCGAAACGTAGGAACTACATTTTGGGCATGTCGGTCAAAAATGGTGGGATACGCGACGCCAGGCCGATGGTGGCTATTTCGCCCGGTGGAAATGACGGTGGGGGCGTTGTCAGAATTGGCGCTGGTTGAGCAATCATAGCGTGATGTTTTGCGGGCTTCGCGGCACGACGTGTATCACTTCCGCCCCTACATAAGGCATAGCACGGGGTCACCAATGTTGTGAACTTTGGTGGTTAGAGAATCTTATGGGCGTGTGTGAGGACGAAAATAATGAAACTGTTAAAATAGTTTGTAGCTGATTATTTGATCGTATCGAGACGCGTATTCACATTAAACGCCTCAAAAGGGACTGCGCTACCTTTTTTTTTTTTTTTTTTAACATGGGGAAATGCCTACGCATACCCGCCTCGCGGGGGCAAGGACGGGTTATGTCGGACTCGCACCGACTAAAACCCCATGGTGTTCCACCTTCGTCGCATATTGGCAGGGCTACGGGAACGCTTTCGCACACATCCGCGGCCCCACCAGCGACTGCCGCCCCATGGCAGCACCTCATCGGGAGAGGAATATTCCTCCCCGTTCTCCTTCCCAAGTAAGGCGCACCAGAACACATGGCACGCCTTCCTACACGGCCTCCAATTACATCTGCGCAACAGACGCCCCCGCGTCCGATGCGCGAAGGCCATGGGGCCGGGAAAAACGAGCACTTAGAAGTACTAGACTTCCCGACCCCAGCGGCGGATCTGGTCTATGGCTCCGCCGCCAACCAAGATTCGGCTGCGGAGGATAGGGAGAGCGGCGCCTCGCAATACCGACAATCCTCTCCCCCCGCAGCCCCATCACCACCGCATCAACGGTGCGGCCCCGTTTGAGTCGCGGAGGATAGGGCGAGTGGCGCATCGCCATACCAACACTCCTCTTCCTCCGCGACTCCACCTCGGCTGCAGCGGTAGGTGGGGAGGACACACCTCTCACCGCAGTCTACCAACACACATCCGAAGTGGGCTTCCCAAGCCCACTCGGAGTGGCCACCTCGGGCCGGCCCTCCACCTCGGACCAGCCATATGGGTTCCTCTTCGTTTCGCCGTGGGTGACCAAGCCACGGCTTCTAAGCCCCCCGCCACGACAAGGCGGGAACCCGTTCGGGGGGGGGGAACTGCGCTACCTACATACAGACTTCCGTCCCACCGGTGACGGTGTTCACGAGAATTACATACATATTGCCACGGGGCACGCATGTGTTTGCTGTGTCAGCTGCACCCACAATGTTTCATGATTGTGGTATAGAGTCGATTTATTAATGACGTTAAAGATAATGATTTCTTATATTTACGCGAAAACTACACATTGATTAAAACTACTTTTACGGATTTTATCGCGTTTAACTTTAATTTTAATTATTTTTATTTCCCGACGTTTCGAGTGCTTTTCAGCACTCATGGTCACGGGGGAATGAGGTGACTGACGTCCCGATGTCATTGTTAAACCCGGAGTACCTTCAGATTTTTTATTTATTTATATAACACCTCAACAGTCAAAACATCCATCCCGGCTATGTGACAAATATCTAATGACCATCCTCCATCGCGGCGATTCAATTCCCGCCATTTTGCGCAATTTTTTAAAATAATTAAATTATGTACTTAAATTTTACTATTATAATCCGCTTTTAGCACTTATGTTATAATATATAAATTTAGATGAGAAAAACCTGTCTATTATATTTTATTGTGAAAATTATTACATTATACCCATATATTTAAAGAAAACACGAAATTAGGTAAATTATTTCTCCTGGGCAGTAAATTCAAGCCGCAATTGCTGCAACATATAAGAAATGAAGCCATTTATAAAAATACTATTGAGGGGATAATATAGTTTAAGTTTGCATTTGTTTATGTCACACATAATATACATTATATTAAAAATACTTAGTGTGAACTTCGACCATACGGTTTTTTATTAATGTATTGCAGGTTTCCTAAAGATCCCACTTTAAAGGATACATAATATAAGTACTTTTGCAATAACAGGCTTACTTGTCTTCCTACAAGAAACAACATGTCATTAGCTCAGATTATTTCCAGACCTCCGACTTTCATGTGTTGGCGAACAATGTGGAAGCCGATTAGTCGACGGCACAAAGCCAGTGATAGATCTATCACTGGTTTTATAAAATATTATTACTTAATGTTTAATTGTTAAATGACAAATAATTATAGTAGTAATAAATAAAGTCTTATCTTTATTTTAATATCCACCTTTTCATCGACAGAGCGTATCGGCAGTTGTTACAGCCACGACAGTACGCAACTTGTTAATGTAGTTACGTCACTTCATTTCACTGTTATGACACAGAATGTATCATTGTGTGTGTGAAATTAAATTATTTTATTTATTTATTTATTTATTTATTTATTTATTTATTTATTTATTTAAATAGATACACCATCGACAATATCGGTAAACATTGTTACAATCAAAAATACTACATTTTTAGATAAAGGATATGTCTTTACAGGTGTATACATCAATGTAAGAGAAAAAAAAAACTAAACAACATATAAACTCTAAATCAAAAAAGAATTAAACTAATCAATCAAAGTAAAAGCACCACATCCATTAATAATTACAATAAATAATAATTTTGAGTCATTATTCTGGCAATGCAGGTAACAATAAGTCTTTACATTTTCTTTTGAATTCACGTTCGGGGTCGCTAAAGATGTCGATGTCATGATTGTTTAAGCTGTTGTAAGTTCGCATACATCTGCTTAACGGAGAAAACTTGCCTAAATTGGTTCTACTGATGGGAATATTGAACAAATTAGTAATTGGGTGTCTAGGAATATGATAAGGGATTTTAAAGTACACTTGCTGCAGTAAACTTGGCGAAATTAACTTACCGTGTAGAAGTTTATGTAGCGTCATTAAGTCTAAAAAGTTTTCGTCGGTCAGCCAGTGAACTCATTCCAAGATAAGAAAGTCTAGAGTTATAATCTTTATAGTATGGACAGTTTTGAACTTTATATGCAATGAATCGAGTGAAGTTTTGTTGAATACGCTCGATTCTGTGAATGTGAATTTTATAAGAAGGATTCCATATCACCGAGGCATATTCTAAACTGCTACGAATCAATGCATTATAGATAGTTATCAGAGTCTGAGCATTTTTGAAATCCTTACATGTACGTTTGACAAAACCTAACATTTTCCATGAGCGCGTTACCACATTATCTATATGTTCTATAAAGCTAAGTTTGTTATCAAGAATGACCCCAAGATCACGGGTGGATGAAGGTTCACTCAGTACCTCTTTATTAATGAAGTAACAAGATTCAACAGTAGATTTATTCTTTGTGAATTTAATGTAGGTACACTTACGAGGATTAAGTTTCATTTTATTACTTTTGCACCATTCATGGATAGCATCAAGGTCATTTTGTAAAGATAGAACATCATCCTGGTTTTTAATAGCTTTGAACAATTTTAAATCGTCGGCGAAAATGGAACAGTGGTTGAGCTTAATGTTATGTGTTATATCATTAATAAACGCCAAAAAAAGAATAGGACCAATATGTGAACCTTGTGGTACGCCTGATAGAGCCACATAATCATTAGACTTATATCCATGCAATACGACACTTTGTAATCTATTTTTGAGATAAGAACTTAGCCAACGAAGTAAATTCCCATGCACGCCGTACGAATTTAATTTTGATATAAGTAAATGATGGTCCACGACATCAAATGCACTAGAAAAATCCGTGTATATGGAATCCACCTGCATTTGACCATCCATTGCACTTGCAACTTTCATGACGTAATCCATCAAATTGCTAACAGTAGATTTATCTTTGGAAAACCCGTGTTGTGCCTCTACGATATATTTTTTAGATGATTTGTTAAACTTGGATAAACTAAGCGTTCAAATATCTTTGGAAATAAGCTTACAATTGAAACCGGTCTATAATTTTTAACATTATTTTTATCTCCTTTCTTATAAATAGGTATAACATTGGAACGTTTCCAGTCAGTTGGAAAGGACCTGGTTAATAACGATTTACTAAAAATTTGTTTTAGAGGAAGAGTTAGATATTTTGATGTCATTTTTATAAACAGAGGAGGAATGCCGTCAGGACCCGCTCCTTTGTAGATATCTAGCGACTTCAGTATACTCAGGATTTTACGTTCTGTTATTTCTATATTATGCAAAGAACTTTGTGGATACACATCGAACAATACAGGAGCTGCAGTGCACTTGGGTTGGGAGAACACAGATGAAAAATGTTGAGCAAAAAGTTTACATATCCCCTCACCACTATTAGCCGAGAGATTGTCTAGGTACATTTCTTCTGGAAAACCATAATCGCAGGATTTCCGATGACGGACGAACGACCAAAACTTTTTAGGATTAGACGAATGGATTTTTCGGTTTCCCGTATATAATCTAAATAATTCTTAGAGGCCAACGACTTAACCCGCTAATTTAAGAGCTTGAGTTCTAATGTATCTCTTGGATTTTTTGTAAATTTTGTGCCTTAATCGGATCTTTTCTTTTTCTTTTATTAGTTTAATTAAGTTCGGCGTAAACCAAATAGGAAACTTTAAATTACGCGGCTTCGTTTTTGGTACAGTTTCATCAATAATGGAATAAAGTATTTTGTAAA